GGGGGAGGCGGCGCCGCTCTCTGATTGGTTCTCTCGCTGAGGAGGCGGGTCAGGGGGCTTCGCTCTCGCGGGAACCGGGCGCAGCGCGGGAAATTCCTCCCGCGGCGGCGAGCGGAGCAGGGCCGGGCGGGGATGGGGCGGCGCAAAGAACATTTATTTACAGCGCTGGGAGCTGCACAGGAGATTTCTCCCCCTGTGGCTCGCTGTCTTCTTACAAATGCTTGCTTTATTTATTAGTATTACTGATTCATGTTTTTTCTTGTAAAATGATTTGCATAATCAATAAGTTCTCGGAACGTAGCCCGCCCCCGAACACGCCTCCCCCCTCCTAGCAGCGCAGGCGCAATGCTTCCCTAGGGGTCTTCCTGCCGGTCGTCAGAGGAAGGCTCGGGGTCTCCATCGCCGTGTCCTTCTTGTGGCTTCTCCATTCTTTACATGATTGACGCTTCTGCGGTTGTCTTAGCTAACCACACCATCCCTTGGTTTGCAACGGGTTTTTGCACTGTTGCTTCTGTCTAATATTTTACCTAACACTGTCCATTTTCCGACCCCATAGTAAGCTCATTCCTATTTTAGCTGAAGCCGTAGCAAGCACATATCTGTTTAGCTGAAGCAAAATTTCCTTCCTAAATTACTTATTACACTCCCCACCAGTCACATGGAGCCCCTCATTTGCCGGACGCCGCTCCCCCCCCAGTAGCTAGTTTTGGGGACATCGCTCCCAACCCGTGGCTGGAGGTTAAAGGGGGTGACACCAAATCCCCTGAGGCACACGCAGGTCCCACCAGCAGCTGGCACTTGGTCCTCACAGCACACACTCCCGCGGTTGAGAGTGAGATGACCCAGAGGAACAGTGAGGAAAAGATTTAATAGGAAAAACTAAAGAGAAAAGGCAGGCTGCAGTGACCCAGCACAGGACTCGGCCAACCTGCTCCCACTTTATAACTGAGTTGCCCCTTTCCCAGCACAGGACTCGGCCAACCTGCTCCCAGTTTATACCTGAGTGGCCCCTTTTACATTCCTTTCTGCCTCCCCCATTTTTTTTCCTCCTCATTCCCCTTCATGTTAACCCTTGGCTGCACCCCTGGACCCTTAACGGAGTAGAGACAGACTCTAATGGCGTGTTCCAGCAGCACCGTGTTCCCCAGGCGCTTAAGAGGAGGAATAAAGAGAAAGCAATACTTAAGGCAGCAGTCTCATTTCCACCCCACAAAGCCACGGAACACGTAGTGGGGACCGTTTCACTCAACGCTCCCTGGAAGCTCCTTTGAGCTTCCAGAAGGTGCTGTCTCCACTTAGGCAAGCCTGAATTTCACTTGAGCTTGACCCCAACAGGTCTATTTGTAGATACTGGACACCAGAGCAGACTGCTCCTGCCCTGACTGCCTTGTTCAACAGCAGGACGATGCCACCAGTGAAGGCATCTGCATGATCCAGGAAGGAGCTGACTTTATAGATGTGAAGAATGTGATTTGAAAACAATCTGCTGGCTTTCTTCTGAACGTAAAGGAGCCACTATTGAGGCAGACTTTCCCTGAAGATTCACAAACCTGTATCTCTTGTCTTGCTGTTTCTCATGGCTTCCTCACAGGGCCTCCTTCACCCACTGCTGCTGAGATCAGGATGCTTGTTTGCTCCTTTGGTGAATTTGGGTCATTTGGGTAAACCAGGCTGGAGGTTGACATTGATATGGATTCCCATCAACATCTATGGCTTGCTGTGGCTTGCACATGAGACGAGCCTTCTCAGACAGCTCTTCCTGATAAAGCAACTCCCCTCTTCCAGCCCTGAGAAGTGCCCGTGGACAATGAGGATGGGGAGGCTAAGCTTGCGGTGTCTCTCTTGCTGGGAGCTCCTCTGCCAACAGCTTCCTGAAGCTTCTGGAGAGGCAGAGGCCCTGTGTCAGGAAGGCAGAGAGGGCCGAGATATTGGCACTGGATTGGGAACCAAGGGTGGTTCAGAAGGCTTATTGCTGCTTTGCACCATGGATTTTTGCTTTGCATTCAGGCATCGGTAAACCCCATTGCCCTTCTATGTCTCCCGTAATCTGAGTAATGGGAGCACACACAGTCTGCTTTCCAGGCCTAGCAGAACTCCAGGTCTTCCATGAGGTATGGGTCTTGCCTCTGGAGGATCTGATAGAGCTGCTCCTGGGCCTCCCACCCTTTCTTCTCAACAAGCTCCAGCAACATTCGGTTCCTCTCTAGTTTCGTATCTTGATGTCGCACCTCCTCTTCTTCATCGCTGTTGATGACGTTTGCATCCCGTAAGTACATCAGAATGGTGCGGAGCTGCCCCATCCTGGAGCAGAGCATGGTTTTGTTCTCCTTCATGAAGGCTGCACCTAGCAGACACAAAGCCCATGTTACTGTGCTGCATGTGGTCGGCCAGCCGCAGGTGAGTGCCATGCTGCAGTATGTGGCGTCCTGAGCCAGTGGACACCATGGCTGTGCACTCTGTCCCACAGCCTTGTGTCTCCTCCCTCCACCAAAAAGGATGGGCCCTGCTGCACCAGCAGCGGGAGCACTGGAGGCAGGGCAAAGAAGGGGACAGGAAAGTAAAGCCAGAGCTGCGGGAGGTGAGGTTGGTGGCAATCCCCATCAGCTGCTGGCTACTGTCCCCTCTGGGACTCCTACAGTGTCTGGGCGTAAAGTCTGGGCTGTCCTGCCCCCTGCCCTGAAAGCTTGAGGGTGCAGCTTTCCAGGCTTTTTGTCTAGAAACTAACATAAGGATGGGAAGAGAGGCTGATCCCTGCTTTAAAACAGGGGATAGTGGGTTCCAAAGACATAGACTCAGACTCTAGGGATGCAGCTCTGAAGCACTATACTGACCTCTCCCAGAGACACGGGCAGGAAGGTTAGCATCACCTGAAAGAGAAAGGAGAGATATCACTGGAGGTGCCATCTCCAAAATGCTGGCGCCTAACCTTCCACAAGATCTTCCTGAGGTACCTAACCCTCCACGAAGCCATTAGCAGCTCCTGCCCATCTGTGAGATCAATACAAGGCCCTGGGCTCTGCAGGGTTGCGGGTGTTACTCTTAGGAGGTGCCAGATCAGACTAGCAGAGAAGGGGTCGCAAGGCCATACCCCACACCTGCGAGATGCTGCTGCCCACAGCTCCTCTGCCAAGCTTTCTCACAGGGGACCCTGTGGGTAGGTGCTGCTACGTGACGTTAGTGGCACATGCGGTGGCTGCTGAGCCGGCCCGGGAGCAGCTGGGCAGAGAGGTGTGGAGATGAGGAACCTGCTGCTCTGGAGCTGGGTGCGCCTCTTGTCCTCCCACAGGACACACAAACACCCTGGCACCCACCATCGCTAACCCTGCTCCATCACCCGCTGTCCTGACTGAAGTTCTGCATGGGACTCAAGGCAGTACAGCCAGCCCTAAAGCAGAATAGTCTTAAGCAATGGTCTGGTCTCTCGATGCCACAAGAGAGCGGTCCCCACTGCCCAGCAGTCCTGCTGTGTGCCACCTCCCTGAGGCCACCGTGAGCAAAGACCCGTGGTGAAGCAGGCCCTGGTCCATCTGGCCTTGCCCCGATCCTGTGTGGTCTGGGTGTTGTTTCACACATTGGTGTCGCACCAGCAGATCTAGAAGAGCAGTGCTGACTGGAACACGTAGTTTTTTAAGATGTTGATTTTCTCTGAAATTTTGGAATTCTCCTTACCTCCTCTGCATCGCACAGTGGTTGCACTAGCACAGCTGTGGGTGCTAATGGACTTTTAAAAATGAATAAGATTTCTATGCAAACAGTAGCCAGGTGAACAGAGAGACACCAGTTGTGGGGTCATGCTCTCTTAAACCCCAGCATCTGAAACTCCACATGAAATGTGAAGCTCAGCTCTACTGACATTGGGCTGTCCTTTCCGGTTCCTGTTCTTCAGTGGCCAATTGCTGCATACACAGGGTTTGCTTTCCCTGCAAATGGATGCATGGATGACGGTGACCACAAACCTGTGAGATCTGCTTGGGAGATGCACCTCCGCTTTTGCTAAGGTGAATGAGCCCCTAGATGGACCTGCTGTTCCTACCTGATCTCAGTGATGCCCTCCAGACCTCAATGCCATCGCGTGTGTCTGTCATAAGGAGCTCAATTTCCTTTGCCATGTTCTCGATGTAGATCTCGACAAAGAGCTGCTGTTCCTTTGGACTCTTGTAGTAAAAGGGCAACTGCTTCTGTAAAAGTAAGAAGCAAGTTGAGTCTCTCTCACCGTGGGGAGCTGCAGCAAATTCCCAGACGCCGTTCTGTGTTTCCTGACTGTACCAGCAAGAGGAAAGACATGGGGAGATGCACATGCTGGGGCTCTGCTGCACTGCCAATATCACAAAATTTGGCTGGAAGGAACATCTGGAGTGTCTTATCTCACCTACCTCTGAAAGATGGACCCATGTCAAGTCTAGATCTGCTCTGCTGGGGCTTTGTCTAGCTGGGTACTGAAAACCCCAGTTTTCAGCAGAGATTCACCGTCTTCTAACCTTCTCTGATTGCCTGCATCTCCACCGAGGGGTAAAATTTTTGCTAACATTTGGTCTGAACTTCTCAGTTTGCAGCTTATGGCTTTTCCCGCTTTTACGTGACACCACCAAGAGCTTGGCTCTGTCATCTTTACAACCGCTCTGCCAGGCAGAGGGCCCAGTTACTGCCTGCTCATTCCAGGAGGTGGGAAAGCCAAACCCTTCCTTGTGATTCACAGGTTTAAGACTCTCTCTCAATTCAGCTGAAGGCCCTGGCTGCTTGGGGCCACGCTCAGCTCGGTAGCAGGGCTGTAGCTGGAAGGGGAGACGATGAATAAGCTGGAGGGGAGGGATGCCAACCTGGAAAGGCTGGAGAACTGAGATGGCAGGAAGCTCAGGCAATTCGGCAGAGGCAAATTGTCCCGGGTTGAGAGACACAGGACTAACTTCTCTTCTAATGCTGGGGAAAATTGCACTTCTAGAAGACTCTAGTATCTGAATTTGTGAAAATATTTACTTTATAGCCAGCCAGGCTCTGTGGAATTCACGGTCTTAGTGTTTTGAGCCTTGCCAGGTGCAGGGACAAGGAGGAGCAAGGCCTGGCCATTTGACCCAGGCTGGCCAACAGGATTATTTCATACCATGAATGTCACATTCAATACACCTTAGAAAAGTTTGCTGTGTAGCTCTCTCTCCCTTGATGGTGGCGGGTCCAGACAACTCCTTGCCCTGGTGCCGGAGCCCTGAGGCCTTCCCTTCCTCCTGAAGCCATTGCGCTGGCAGTGTCCGCCATTTGCTGTCCCTGCTGGGAGTGCACGGCTTCCTGATGATAGAACTGGCTGAGTATAACTCCTGTATCTTATATCAGTGTCGGGATTAAGACTGGTTATTTAGTATTATTGTTAATTATTTAGTCTATTAAATCTATTTATATTTCAACCCTTGTGTTTCCTTGTGTTCCTCAATTCCTCTTCTCAGGTGGGGAGGGGTCACTGGGTGATAGAATAATTGTCTAAACGACAATAGATTGTTATGGGTTTTCTCAAACCGTAACACAAATGTAGAGACCTACGTCTGGGATGGAATAGATGCACACCGGAGGAGAGCCTGGGCACCAGGTGGACACAGAAATCAGCTTCACAGGGAAGGACTTGGGAGTCCTGGTGGGCATGCAAGTTGAACAGGAGTCAGCAGTCTGTCCGGGCAGCAAAGCTGGCCACATCCCAGGCTGTATTAGCAAGACCACAGCCAAAAAAAGTGAGGTCAGGGATCCCTGCCCTCTGTTCAGCACTTGTGAGGTCACATTTGGGCACATTGGGTCCAGTTTGGGGCTTCCCAGTGCAAGAAAGACATGGACATCCTGGACCTCCAAGTTTCAGGCTGGAATGCACGATGTGCAAAGAGAGGCAGAGGAAGAGAAGGTCACAGAGAAAACTAATTGCTGTTTTTCACTACATGAAGGAGGACTAAAGAGAAGATGGAGCCAGCCTCCTGGAGGTGCACATTAATGAGATGAGAGGCAACAGGCACAGGCTGCAGCAATGAAAACTCTGACTAGATAATAGATAGTAGGGGGAAAAATCACAACGAGGGTGTTACAACACCCGACTAGAGCCCCAGAGAGGCTGTGGTGTCTCCATCCTTGGAGATATTCAACCTTGGCTGGACATGGCCCTGAGCACCTTGATCTAACTTCAAAACTCACATGGTTTGAGCAAGGGATTGGACCAGAGACCTCCTGAGGTTCCACCCAACCTAAGGTTCTCTGATTCCCCTTTCATTGATTATGGTGCAGCGCAGACCCATGAAAGGAGATTCTTACAACCAGCCATGAACGTGCCATTAGACTGTCCTCAGCTGCTCTCAGGATGTCACAAACTCCTCTTTAAAACACATAATCACAAAGACTAAATGGCCAAATTTTCTCAGATTTTCCCAGCCATTGCAATCTGATGCTACTTGGCTTGGTGCTCAAAACAGAAATTCAATAGAGAAAGACGTCATGTCACATCATGGCACGGAGAGAAAGTTTCTCCCGTCTTGCTCCTAAACTGAAGGAAAGTCACTGTGGGGGAGATGAAGATTAAGGACTTGGGACCACACCTGAGTCAACACCTCTGAAATTCCCTCTTTATATGTAGCTATGGTAAGTCCAACAAGTCCCACATTACGATTTCTGCCATGAGGAAAAGCAGACGAATGCCCTTTGGGGCTTTGGGGTGGGCTCTGTGCTCTTCCGGGGATGTGTATCAAGAAATGCCCCCTGTAACCAGTACAGCTCCCTGCACCTCTGGCTCTGAGACCTAGTAAGACACATTCTGGTAGCAGGATATGGCTGAAGACAGAGACGTCTTGTATTTCCTAGTTTGGTCAAAAAAAAAAAAAAA